ATTATAGAATATAGATCATATTATAATAGATTTAGCCTAAGTGCTTATAATTGCATATTGTAAATTACTATATACTTCCATAGTTTGTAATATGTCAATATTTATTTCATTTAGACATTAACTGTAATTTGAACTTATGGCCTTTGGTTCATGTGAATGCTTTGAGACCAATATATTCCTGTTCTTCCCTAATTGGTCAGTGATCCTACTAGGAAAAGTTATATTTTTTAATTTATTTTTAACTTCCCATATTAAAATGGTTGAGAGGGTGGAGATTGGGAGATATCTGGGTGCACATGATCATTGCTTAATTAGGTTTGTTTACTGCATATGGCTATCATGAATAGTGAGATTCTGGCTACAAATTTCAGAAAAGCTAATTTTTGAAATTTTAAACAAGAATTATTTATTATAAATTGGGCAACTGAATTAATTGGAGATACTGATGAAATATGGAAAATGTTTAAATATTCAAGGTAGTAGTACTCCTTAAATAAAAAGGGTGGCTTCAAATAAATATCTGGGTTGGCTCATAAAGGATATAAGGGATATAATTAAAGAACAGCATCATCAATTTGAGGAACTTAAATTGACTGCTATGATTGGAGACTTAGAGGGATGTAGAAAATTAAGAGAGTTAATCAAACTGGAAATTGAAAAGGATCTTTGAAAAAAAGGTTGGCTGAAAATTTAAAAATGAGCAGTATGAATTTCTTTAAATATATGAAGGCTAATCAAATATTAGGATGGGAGTAGGGCCTTTGAGGGACAATAAAGGAAGATTCATATCTGATATTTATAGATGGCTGGATTATTCTACTTTTTCCTTCAGTTCTTACTAATGAAGATTTAAGCAATATTTCTTGTCCTGGACAGTTGCCAGATGAAAACGAGATTGAACAAGATGATGACATGAATTCTGAGCTTATTAAGAAAAATTGGGAAGATTAAAGAATGACAATGCTCCTGGGTCAGATATTTTCCCAAAGGTTTTGAAGGATGTTAAAAATTATATATGCAAACCACTTGCTACTGTTTTTTTTGCAAGTCCTTGAACAGTGGGCAAGTGCTAGAGAATTGGAAGTTGGCTAATGTTACTTCTCTTTTCCAGGCAGGTGATAAAAATTGTTCATGTAATTGAAAGTCTGGTAAAAGATGCTTTGCAAAGACATTTAACAAAGTTTGCTGGATAGTCAATTTTCAACAGGGAAAAATCATGCCTTAATCTTTTGACATTCTTTGAAGAGACTACTGCTTATGTAGACGAGGGTATGGGTGTGGATTTGGTGTATTTTAATTTTCAAATAGCTTTTGACAAGGTGTCATATAAAAGGCTTGTTAAGATATAATTTCTGTAAATATAGGGATAAGTTGGATAGATGGAAGAAAGCAGATGGCTAGAATTCAGTCAAACTAGATTAACTTCACAAGTGGGATACCTCACGGCTCCGTGTTAAGATCTTTGCTATGTTTGAATTACGTCGATATAGATTAAGGTCAATAAATTATTTAAATTTATAGATAACATTAAGGTTTTGGACGTTGCTGGCTGTGACCGGGATGCTACTACTTTACAAGAAAATTTAGATCACTTGGTGAGTTGTGCAAATAAATGGCAAATGGCTTTAAATTATTATAAATGCAAGGTAATGAGTGTGGGTTATCATAATTTTAATTATAAGTATAATTTTGATGAGAATAATCTTAACAATTTTATGAAAGAAAAGGATCTTGGTGTTAGTTAACTCTTTCGTCATGGGTCAAAGGCCATGTCATCGTGTTTGTTGACTTACATTCAAAATTTTATTGAAATACTATTTTTGAATTTATGTCAATAAGTTTGGTATTAAACTGTAGATTATAATTCAAATTTTAGTATTATACATTAATTAATTTCTTAATTTAAAAGTAAAGATTAATAAAACACCCCTAAATATTGATTTTTTGGGTGCCATGTGGTAAGTTGAATGCAGTACTGGTTTAAATTAGATGTTTGTTATGTCCGAATATCAAGTCGATAGTTTCATATGAATTAGGAATTCAAATTACCAATATTAATAAACTAGAATATAAAATAAGAACCTCCTATCTTTTCTGTTTGCTGAGATATTGATCATGTACTGAATCAAACACAGTGGCCTTGCTCACCTCTTTCCATTTTTGGAAATGCACCTTTATATACACTTACTTCTGTCTATGACATGTGAATAATTAATCAAAAGCTCAGAATGTCCCCCTAGTGGCTTTCTCAGCCATTTTCAAGTATTAAGACATCATCTCGTTCTTTCGCTACAAAACTTCATGGTGGTAAGTTGAGTCTTTAGTCTGCTCAAAATGTCATATTTTTTTAGACCCAACTACAGCTTAGTTACTAATCTTGATAAATTAAGTAACAAACGAGTAGAAAGGTCATAACTAAAAGAGATAATTGTTTGCTTCAGTTCTTTATTTACTGTTCTATGTTTTAAGAAAAATAAGTTTAAGATTTGTAAATAGTAATAATGTATATACACATATAATGTATAATAATTGAAATGTGACTGTATTTTACAAAATACTAGTCTACTAAAACACAGCCAAGATAGGTCACTTTGTAAAGAATAAAGGTCAGTTTTATATTATTGAGTACATGTGAGCCACGTCATTGTAACTTCTGTATTGTTGGCCAGTCAATATAATAAAAATAATAAATATATATAAATGTATAATGTTATGAGATTTCTATTTAGTCTAAATATTTGTGTTTCCATGTTATAATTTGTATTCATTCTAGAAGGAAAAAGGCATAATTTATATTTATTTCCTAATTTTTTGTGTTGGTTACGAGATCGGTCATATCGACCGAACCCATACAGAGATTTGTTACTGAAAATAACAGTTAAAATATAAAGTTCTTTTCTTAAGAAATGTTTGATAACTATCTGGACATTATACAGATTTTGCATGTTAAATTTGAAAATTTTCTGATGCATAAAAGTATTTTTAATCTCAAAATGAAAATTAATTTGCATGTTGGATAGGCAACATGAGAAAAAAAAAAAAGGCATGAGAAAAACATTGCTTAACAAACCATAAGACTTAATAAAAAAAAATGATGACACATCTTCAGCAGCATCATTTGTTCCATTGTTCAATTTGTTCCAACTGAAATGTCCTGCACCATGATAATGCTAAAGCCTGTTGGCATGCACCACCTTTAGCTTACCTCGCCTGGTAATCTGACAAATTTTGTTAACGTATGCTTACTAATATAAAAGCTATAGCATGAGAACTATAACAAGCACAAAATAGTTACGAGGTTAGTCCCAAGGACCGAGCCTCTGCTGAAAGAGTTAATCAATCTCTAAGTGATCTAATAAGTGGACTGTTGCTATAGGTAGGGCAAATAGGAACTTAGGTTGTACCTGCATAAATATTAAATAAAGTCTAAAAGGTTATAATTTCACTGTGTATATTACTGGTTAGGCTTTATTTGGAGTATTATGTTCAGTCATGGGCTTGTTAGTTTAGGAAGAATATTGAATTGTTAGAAAGAGTTCAAGGGAAGGGTGTTAGGATGATAAATGTTATAAAGGACAAGCTAAGATCTGAAAAAAGAAGAGTTGGAAGGGATCTGATTGAGGTATTTAAGATTGTTAAGTGAATTGATATTGAAATTAATGGTGAGAATGTAGGGAACAACATAAATAGAAATTTTGGCAGGGTAGGAGTCATCTTCAGCTAATATTGTTTTACTTTTCTAACTTATTTACCTTTTGGAATTGGTTACCTTCTGATGTGGTATATACAGTAAATTTGAGAGAGTGTAGGGGAAGGCTTGATAAATATTTGAATGATAAGGATTGATTTTTTTGTTGTTGTTGTTTTGTTTGTTGAAGTTTAGTTTAGTAGATGAGATAGCTTAGGTGGAACAACAAGTCCTTGTCCTTAAATTTTATTTTATTTATGCATTTCAGTGTGATCCATATATTTAGTGATTAACACCTGAAACTTAGTAGTGCATGTTGGAAGGTTCTTACATTTGAATGTTTAATGAAATTCTATCACCTTAGCTAGATATAAGCAGATCATAAGAATAGCATAAACAGTGGATTTTTTAAAATTAGATATTTGGACCAGTTATCCTAACCACTGCAGTGATTGTTTGTTGTATTTAACTATGTTTCTTTCATTCTGATCTTTATTATTCATTCTTTATTATCAAAATTTACTCTCGTTATGTTAAGCCTAATTATTAGAAAATATTTCTTTGGGAAAAGTTTAACTGTTGAATGCTGTGTAGTTTTATTGCTTTTTAACTTGTTTGTTATATTTTTTTAAAATCTGAAATGTACCTACAATTATCATTGAAATATTTGTGTAGTGTGACATATCTTGAACATACTCCAAGTATTTAATTTTTCCAAGATTTGGTAGCAAGATAACAAATTCAAAATTAAACATACGTTAATGGTTATTTCATTACCTACTTCATATTATAGACATGAAATTATTTGAATACAGACAACACACATCAAATATACACTCAAAGTATTTGTAATTTTGACAAACATGTTTAGAATGTTCAGTTCAAATCACCCTAATGTTAATTATGGGTAATTTATGTTTAGTCAAGAGATATGCTTTTTACCTCACTAACTTCATTTTACAATTTGTATAAATCTCTGAGTATCATGTAGTACCACAATGTAATAGTGTTAACTAGAATTTTGGAGTTGTGTGTATTTTATTCTAACTTGTAAAAGTAACTTGGGCATTTCATTATTTAATAGCTAACAACCTGCATAAAGTTTTAATGTTGGATCTTTAATATTACAATTTTCCCATTTGATATGCAGTAGACATAAATGAGTCATACCTGTCATGCCAGAACTATGACTTTCAGACTTACCTCTAAAATGTTTTTGAAGAGAAAAAACAATTTTATATAAAATAATTAAGACTGCCTTTGGTTTTAGTTAAGCATTTAACAAAAAATAATTTTAGTCACATTTTTGCAGGTGATTACTTGGAGTTTTGTCAACGGCTTTGCTATGGCAACAGACAAGAGTGTTGGGGTTCGATCAACGCATATTCTTTTCGAACCATACTCTATGGAGGACATTTTTACAGTAATCAAGAGTAATTCTAGAGTAAAGGTACATAATGTCAATATTTTCATACAGGGCAGGAATATGTTTTTGGAGGAGATTGCATACACTTATTTGGATTCTATTTCCCCCCTTGGTCATTCTTTAATGTATATGACATTTCTGTTTTTTTTTGTTTTTTTTTTGCAGTTGCAAAAAATGCAAATGAGCTCATTAAAATATTTTATCTATAATTTGAAAGCTGTAAGAATTGTTTTATGGGCTCAAACATCCCACTTTAGAACATCCAGCATGACTATAATATTTGATTGACTTTTCATCTTAATTTAGACATGTGGTGCCAACAAAACTCTGGGACTTACTTTTCACTGAAAATACATCTGAATATGATACCATGAGTACCATTTCCTGTAATTTTGTCTTATGAGCTCCAAACATTTTTTTATTTTTATGTATTTCAGATAATAAAAAATGTGAATCATATTTGTGAAAATGTATATGAAATGCAACATAATGTAAAAATTGGTATTCCAGCCATTTGCTCTTGGATTCCACACATTGTGTGATGTGTGAAAAACTATTTATACCTTGTTTTCATGAGCATATATACTCTTTCATGAAAAGATCTAATGAGTTGCAGTTCCTACTTAGTTTTGACTGTTATACCTTGCCTTATTGAAGGTGTGCTCTCAGAGATGAACAGTATTTGTATTAACTTAAGCTGGGGTTCTTCAGTAATGAGTTGCTTTTTCAAAGTAGCAATCATAAAATAGCAAATATTTCTTAATGTTATTAATAATATTGAATTTTCTCAAATCTTATGTTCACTTTTGGCAGTAATAGAAGATTTAACTCTTTATTACTCCCTCTTGCCTGCTTTGTGACAGAAGTTAGTTTCAGTTGGTTTAGTTGTGTTAGACATACCCCATAGTATGTTTAATATATTGTTTTTATTGTTATTACATTCCCCTTGTGGGTCATTGGTAAGTTTATGGATTTATATCATGAGAATCTGGGGTTTGATTCCCTGTGTTAGACAGAACACCGATAGAAAGTTGTGTAACTTTGCACAAAAATGTAGTGTTAAAATATAATTGGCATAATACTAATGTCTTATGACAAGTATAATTAATTATGATCATGCATTGCCATTTTAGAAAAAGTGTTCACACCATAACAGCTGTTATTGTTAACAAATGGCTTATATAAATAGTGTTCTGACAACTACTTTGTTTTTTGTGTACCATCTGGCCTGATGAGCTCTGTATTGAGTGAAACTCGTCATTGGCAGTGGATGTAGTAAACATAGTTTGGTTTAAATACTATTATATAATTCTTGAAAAAGTCTGAGGGAATTGAATAAAGAATGTAATGTTCAAAATATAATAGCTTTAATACTAATGCCTTATGACAAGTATAATTAATTATGAATTTATGAAAGTTTGAGTAAAGAAATTCTTGAAATAGTTAATTTTTAATGTTGCTAATGAGTCCTGAGTGGTCCTTTGGATCTGACAAAGTTGAGCAAAATCATGGGATTGGCAGAGAGATGTCCTTTTACTGCATATGTTATTATAGATAATTAAAGAGGAACAGTTGATATAATAGTAAGAGGAACAAACTACAGTTTGACCATTTTTAGTGTTTTACCTGTGCTGTTATGATAGTTTTATTATTAGTCATAATATGTCATTTTTACATTTAGAACTAATTCCTTCCAAGAAGCTTAATCTTTTGTAACCATATTCACTTTGGTATGTCCTGACTCAAATGTGTATGTATTTTACCACATTATGATAATCAATAACATTTTTCCGCCAACTTACTGTTCATCACTCTTGTGCATCTTTCAATGAGATTCCTTAAGTTTATAATAAGAAATATAAACAGCACATTCAAGTTGTGTTTCAATATTTTTTATATACTTCTTTTTTTCATTTCACTTTAGAAAGTTTAAGTATTATCTCAAACCTAGATCTAGAATTAGGTGAGATATTAAATATTATGAAATCAAAAGTGATGACAAGTTATATCCACTGAGGGCATGCAACTCTTGGTTTAAAAAAATCATTTTTGCTAGAATGACTGGTACCTATGTCAGTAGCTTTTAAAGTAACTAGCCTGAACGTTATTTTCATGCCCTGACATATAAATCATATATAAAACAAGGCTAGAATAAGCATGTAATGATGAATAGCAAAAGCTTCTTTTGAAATTGTTTTGTAAATAGTATAACCCTTAATCTATATCTATCTGTAACCAACACTGGATCTAAAACTATTAATATATGCATTTATACACATACTATATATATATATATATATATATATATATATATGTATAAAAGTTTGATTAAACTTTCAGAATTATGTGATGTTGGTTTTTTAAAATCCAAGTATGTCAAATTATATCTAATTTAAATTAGTCAAGCTGACAAGCCCTTTTGTGGTTTTGGCTTAAAACACTCATTGATGGGAATAGTATTAAATCAGACTCCTTTGTACTATGATTCAAACCCCCTGATAATATTTAATAAACTTTTCTGACATGAATTTTGAACTAAAGTTTTGTAAATAATTCAAACCTAAATGTGTATCTTTACCTGTAGCTAACAATAAATCTAAACTTAAGCCATTTCATTCTAATAAATTTTTTATTATAACTTTGACTCACTTTAGATGATTTTCTGGGCAAGTGAGTATTTATCTACATAACAGGTAATGAAACGTAATATTTAATATATTAATTTATAATTCTAGTGGAATTATTTATGTAGTAGAAGTTATTGGTACTTTAAAAAATTCTGTTAAACATTTAAAGTGAAGAAGTAAATGTATACCTTTAAAATTTAGTGTCAGTTAGATTTTTGTTGTTTAGTGGGTTTCATAAGAGTAAAATAAATCTCTTTATGCTAGTTATTCAGTTTTAAATTGAATATTATATACAAAAGAACTGAGGAAAATACATGTGTTGTTAAATTGAGATATGGTGAGACACCCCCTTGCAATTTGACATGTACTTTAGCTCACTAGCTGTAACATGAATAAGCATCATGACGGGGAATGGGGTGAGCTTTGAAAAGTTGTTAGGTAGTTTGATAACTTTAGTAGGCTTGCACAGTTGCCTTAAATAAAACATCTAAATTTGTACACACTGAAGTTGATTACCTATACATGATAATGGCCAGTGTAACTACTATAGCATAATGAAAGTAGACAATTGGTTTTCTGTGGGTGAAGTTGCTTAGTGGACAAAGAGCTATTACTTGGACATGATCCTAGTTTTCTTCATCGAATGATATTGTTTAATGAATTAATTCCCAACCAAATAAGTGTAACACACATATATGATATCCATGGTAGACTTCAGCTGTAATTCATCTGCATATCAATCTCATTCTGACTTCTACATCCATTGTTCCATCCAGTTTTTCTAATTTATTTTACTTTACTTTACTTCAAACATTCTTGGTATTTATTTTATAGCTTCATTATTTATGTTTCCTTACTTTTCTTATTTAACAAATAAACACAAAACGTATTGGAAACTATTGGAATGATAATGTTGTGATTTAATTTCATTGACACTAAATCATAATGATTGACCACTGAATACTCATACCCTCCCAAACCCTTTCAGGAAGCATTGTACATAGATAACAAAACCAAAAAAACAGATTTGTCTGTTTCTTATTATAAACTTTGTGATAAGTTTGAAGTTTGTTTTTATTATTTTATAACTACAAATATAGATTAAACAAAGAAAAACTGTTGTGTGTTACACTGGTCTGTGTAGAGAAGTTGTATAATGTTCACAAGAATAATATACATACACGAAACAAGGCTAGGATATATCTGTACTGATGATTAACAACTTTTTTTTCAGTTTCATAAATGAATTATTCATCTTTACAAATTAACAGCAGCAGTATTTTTAAGTATCTTGAAATAGGCAAGTGCCCTTCAGATTGTGAATTATTTCACAAAATACAAAAGAAAGGTCAGAACTACTAAGTTATTATATAGACATGAAGCTATATATTGTGTGTATTATATAGACATGAAGCTATATATTGTGTGTATTATATAGACATGAAGCTATATACTGTGTTTATCATATGGATATGAAGCTATATATTGTGTGTATCATATGGATATGAAGCTATACATTGTATGTATCATATGGATATGAAGATGGACATTGTTTATTATATAATATGAAGCTAGACATTGTTTATTATATAGATATAAAGCTTTAAATTGTGTGTATTCTATAGATATGGAGCTATATGTGTGTATTCTATAGATATGGAGCTATATGTGTGTATTCTATAGATATGGAGCTATATGTGTGTGTTATAGAGATATGAAGCTTTAAATTGTGTGTATTCTATAGATATGAAGCTATAAATTGTGTGTATCATGTAGATGTGAAGCTATACATTGTGTGTATCATGTAGATGTGAAGCTATACATTGTGTGTATCATGTAGGTGTGAAGCTATACATTGTGTGTATCATGTAGGTGTGAAGCTATACATTGTGTGTATCATGTAGGTGTGAAGCTATACATTGTATGTATCATGTAGGTGTGAAGCTATACATTGTATGTATCATGTAGATGTGAAGCTATACATTGTGTGTATCATGTAGATGTGAAGCTATACATTGTGTGTATCATGTAGATGTGAAGCTATACATTGTGTGTATCATCTAGATGTGAAGCTATACATTGTGTGTATCATGTAGATGTGAAGCTATACATTGTGTATATCACATAGATGTGAGGCTATACATTGTGTGTATCACATAGATGTGAGGCTATACATTGTGTGTATCACATAGATGTGAGGCTATTCATTGTGTGTATCACATGTATATGAAGCTATACATTTTATGTATCACATATATATGAAGCCATACACTATGTTTATCATATAGATATGAAGCTATACATTGTGTTTATCATATAGATATGAAGCTATACATTGTGTTTATCATATAGATATGAAGCTATACATTGTGTTTATCATATAGATAAGAAGCTATACATTGTGTTTATCATATAGATATGAAGCTAGATGTTTGTACTATAGATATGAAGCTAGATGTTTGTACTATAGATATGAAGCCAGACATTGTGTGTATTATAAAGATATGAAGCTAGACATTGTGTGTAATATACAGATATGAAGCCAGACATTGTGTGTATTATAAAAATATGAAGCTAGACATTGTGTGTAATATACAGATATGAAGCTAGACATTGTGTGTATTATATAGATGTGAAGCTAGACATTGTGTGTAATATACAGATATGAAGCTATACATTGTGTGTAATATACAGATATGAAGCTATACATTGTGTGTAATATACAGATATGAAGCTAGACATTGTGTGTAATATACAGATGTGAAGCTAGACATTGTGTGTATTATATAGATGTGAAGCTAGTCATTGTGTGTATTATATAGATGTGAAGCTGGACACTGTGTATTATATAGATGTGAAGCTGGACACTGTGTATTATATAGATATGAAGCTGGACACTGTGTATTATATAGATATGAAGCTGGACACTGTGTATTATATAGATATGAAGCTGGACACTGTGTATTATATAGATGTGAAACTAGACACTATGTGTACTATATAGATGTGAAGCTAGACACTGTGTATTATATAGATGTGAAGCTAGACACTATGTGTATTATGAAGACGTGAAGCTAGACACTATGTGTATTATGAAGACGTGAAGCTAGACACTGTGTATTATGAAGACGTGAAGCTAGACACTGTGTATTATGAAGATGTGAAGCTAGACACTGTGTGTATTATGAATATGTGAAGCTAGACACTGTGTGTATTATGAAGATGTGAAGCTAGACACTGTGTGTATTATGAATATGTGAAGCTAGACACTGTGTGTATTATGAATATGTGAAGCTAGACACTGTGTGTATTATGAATATGTGAAGCTAGACACTGTGTGTATTATGAAGATGTGAAGCTAGACACTGTGTATTATGAAAATGTGAAGCTAGACACTGTGTGTATTATGAAGATGTGAAGCTAGACACTGTGTGTATTATGAAGATGTGAAGCTAGACACTGTGTGTATTATAAAGATGTGAAGCTAGACACTGTGTGTATTATGAAGATGTGAAGCTAGACACTGTGTGTATTATGAAGATGTGAAGCTAGGCACTGTGTATTATGAAGATTTAATGCTAGACACTGTGTGTATTATGAAGATGTGAACCCAGACACTGTGTGTATTATGAAGATGTGAACCCAGACACTGTGTGTATTATGAAGATGTGAAGCTAGGCACTGTGTATAATGAAGATTTAATGCTAGACACTGTGTGTATTATGAAGATATGAAGCTAGACATTGTGTGTATTATGAAGACATGAAGCTAGACATTGTGTGTATTATGAAGACATGAAGCTAGACATTGTGTGTATTATAAAGACATGAAGCTAGACATTGTGTGTATTATAAAGACATGAAGCTAGACACTGTGTATCATCTGTTTTTAAAAAATAATTACAAGGTTTTAGCTTTCTCATACCTGAATCATTTATTTTTTTATTTCATACTTCAATACAGCTAATTTAGAAATGTTTATTAGCTGTTGTTTTATAAATAAACAATGAAAGAAAGTATGTAAAGTTTCACAATGAAAACGTTTTTTTTTCTCTGTAATATATATTTCAGTCACAGTGCATTTTTGATTTGTAAAGCAACATCAAATTGCATATTATTATGAATGTCTTATGAAAGTAAAAAATAATTTGGTAATTTATTTTACTGAACATTTTATGAAAGGAGCAATAAACTACTGACTGATTAATATGCTTAATTTTATGACTATTTACAATTGTGCACCTAGTGTGATATTTATTATGAATTGTCCAGTGCAAATGAAATGCATTTCACATTTAAGATTTTGAAATGTTCTTATTATTTTTTATTACTTTGAATTTAATTTTTTCAGTATGTATATATATTTATATATATATATTTTTTTTCTAATTTTTAGTACACTTGCTTTCATGTGTCTGAACATTATCTGGCTTTAGGAGCAACAAGTGGAGGAGTTTATCTTTTTAAACGTGTGGATCTTTCCTTTCTGAGGACAGTGACTAGTAAGGTACAGCTTGCTATTTGTACATTCAGTTAGAATCACTTTTAATCTTTCTGTTAAACATGAACTTACTTGTCAGGCACAGTGTGTCTTTGGAAGTTTGCTATCATGAACAAAATCCATTAATGTGAGAAGAAATATAGTTGCATATCCACTCATTAGAAATTGGAGACCTAAATATTTGATGTTTGACCTGCTGAACTGTGGCACATTTTGTGATAAGCAAGGTAAGCTCTATATCACATAACTTAGACAGTTCTAATGGCAGTGGCATAACTTTGTTTGCAAATGTGGCAGAACTGTTTCTGTAGCTAGGGTATGCATGAGGTATTCTATCAAAAAAAAGCTATTCTATTCTTGATAAGGTGTGGAGGACATGTCTCCAGCATCTTATTAAAAATTGTGGCTGTGTCTTATGGATTTGTTTTGGCTGTGGTAGGAGTTCTATGAGAGTTCAGGTAATTTCAAAGCTGTTTACCTTTTTTTTATTTTCCCATTGACTGTAATTTTTGGTCTTATAATTTTGATTGTTATTAGAGTGATCAGTTGAGAGCATCTCAATCAAGTAAGAAAATATCCAATATAGCATTAGCATTTAACATTGCATGAAAACAGTAATGTCTGAGTGTATATGTTATAAAATGTCTTAAGAGGATAAAAATAATTCACCTTCCTTTTATAAATCAAACTAGTTAAGTTTTATTTAGTTGGAAAACACATATATAATAGAAAGTGCAAGTATAGTTTGTAAAGTAAAATAATGTTACCATTTTCAATTTTAAAGGAAGTGGTTGGTTAACTTGTCTGTATTTAATATTCTTGAGAGTTAATTCATAGGAAATTGTTTTTGCTATAACATCTTAATGCTTAAGTGATTGAGTTTTACCTTCAGCTCAGAAATATACATTGTTTTTGATTTTCCATGAAAGCATTGTTCCCAATGAGATATAAAGCTATATTTGTGTGTTTATTTTCATTTGTGAGTAAGAAGTCCAAAATTGTAATTAAACTAATTAACTGTAGAGAAATCGTATGCTTTAGCTTCATAATGTTTTTTTTTTGTCAGCTTTGCTATCAGTTAAAGTTGCAGGTTATGAACATTTTTGGTGATTCTGAAGTCACATTGTGTATTTTTCTTGTTTTGTTTATTTAATTTAATCATTCAAGCAATATTTAATCATAAAAAATAGGGTATAAATGTCACACATCATGATGCAATTTTAGTACTAGCAGTGTGAGAATTTTGAGTTGAATGTGTGATGTGGCACGTGCATAGATAGATGATGTCATATAACATGTAACATCAGAAGATAAAGAGAGGTTCAGTTCAGAATAGAAAATTAACTGTTACTTTTCTCTCTCTTCAGGCTGCTATTTTTTTTTCTTTTGCTTGTTCATACACAACACTGTCACTGTCTATGAATGTCCCTCTCTGTCTTTATATGTAAAGCAATGATTACACAGGATACCTTTTAGCATGAACTACTGTCTGGAGCACCTTTTTTATTTCTTAATTATATTTTTATCATAATTGATTTATTTTCAGAAATCTAAAATTATGAATTTGTGTTGATTCAAGAATGTGACATTATGAATGATGGTATAAGATGATAATAGCAAAATAGTAAGGTGAACCTCACACAGTAAATGATGTTTTGGCAAAAAACATTCTCATATGTCAATTACAATAACCAATAATTATCCTTTTTTTAGTGTCTAACACTGAAAACTCACAGGTGTTTTGTATTTGTTGAATATTACAGTTTGTACTGACTTAGGAATAGTGTGAGTACAAACTGGAGGATAAGTGAAAGAACCTAGTATTTGTTTCATGTTGAACAGACTAATTTTTAATGTCATACTGTTATTATACAAGTATTACAACTGTATTGAAAATAAAATACTGTTAGCTATAGAAACATTATTAGTATGCAATAAAAAAGCATGTTTAACATGATACTAAATATTAAACACATGATGATATGTCATATGACATGATGGATATTCCTTTAAAAAAGAATAGATACAAAATATTTTTAACAATTGATATTTTTTGTACAATTGATCACTAGTGTTTTGGTTCCTTGTATTATGTTTTGTAATGTTATGTCACTCTTGGTATTAACTATTATGTGTTAATGTTATTTGAGCTGGTGAATGTGGTTTACAGGTTCCATTCTATGGTCTGACTGATATCTTTTTTTTATTTCTATCTTAGACATGTCTTCCTTATCCATTGTATATCATTGTTAACAATGCAACCATTGTAATGTACAAATGAAATTTTTATGCTTAAATTACAGCAAAAACTTTAGCACCAAATTTGCATTTTCTCACAATTCAGAACATGTAATTCTCTGAGACCATAGGATGTGTCTAGTAAGAGATGTCACTTAGTTTGAAATAGCTTATATTTACATAGTTATATGCTAAGTAGAAGAAATAATTCTTATTAAACTTCTGTTGACTTTCAAACTGACATTGTAGGTAATGGTTCTATATTGAAATAATTTAAAAATATTTGAAAAAGATACTTTGTATATAGTTGATTAAAACAGTTATGTATTTTTTAGGAAGTTTGTCAATTTACATATAACTAAAAGTGTTTATAGAGAGTAAGTTTATATTAAACATAAACAAACCATTGTGAAAATGAAATATAGAAAAAAACTTGTATGTGTTGTACTGTAGGAAGGTGTTATCACACAAGTTTCCCTGGCTCCAGATGACAGTGTAGTAGGGTTTTCCACAAGGTGGGTAATAGTTTATATATAAAAATATAAAGTTGTATATTATTATAAGATAAAGCATTACAGAGCTCAAAGCAAGTGAAACTTTCTTTAGGCAAGCAGTACGTTTTTGTGTGAAAGAAATGTAAAAGGAACATTTTATGACATCATAATTTAGACAGTGTGATAATATTTATGAAAACTTTGACATTAATATCTAAATCCTTTTTTTTTTCAAAGTTTCTGTAAATTGACAATCATATTTGGAATGATTAGTCAGTGAATGTTCAAATAGTAATTTTATTAAAGTTAAAGTAGCCCATCTAACATAGTTTGATTTTTAATTCTTAATAGTGAATATTTTTTATAAAATTCAAGTTGTATAAATTTTCTGGCAAAGAATAGTTTGTATTATTTTTTTATGTGTATTTTTATATCCATAATTTAGCACATTTGTGAAACAGACGTTGAATAACATGTTTAAGTGATAAACAAAATTGTGCCTTAGAAAGAGAATGTTTGATTCATAATCAGATATAATTATTTTTTGAAAGTACTTAGCTAATTAGCCACCATTAATTTGATTTCTATCCAAAATAACAGCCATTCTGCATTAAAGACCTATACATAGTTCCTAATCTAGTGGTATTACCTTATACAAGGAAATGGGTTTGTTAGATATAATTCAAATATGCTTCACTCAGTTGTATGAATATTTCTGTGGTTGCTTTCTGAAATTCTAGACAAGCACTAAACATAACTTATTTGTTTGTGCTGCTTGAGGTTCTGTTTCATATTTCTTTGTTGACTTAAAAATAAATTTTAAACATCCTGGTATTTTTCTTAGGTAATCAACATGAAAATATGAACAGGATACTTGCATATTCAAATCTTAGTACTCATTGACATATATATATATATATATATATTTTGTAGTTTCAACAATTCTCATAATTTTGTGTAGTAAATTGTAAACATCAATAACAAATAAAGGAATAAAGGATATGATGATAATTAAATCAATATTAAAAATGTATGATTTGTGATTAAAATTGATTGGCAAAAAATAAAACTATTTTGTTTTCCATATGCATCAGACTTAATTATGTAACCTCAATTTTCAAAACATACCTACGCTGATACTACAGCTATTTCTCGATCTCCAGAGTTTCCACTCTTTGCCCATCTAAACATTGTAAGTGCTTCCTCCAGTCTTTATATATCCCACTCGATTGCCCTTGGCAAATTCTAATTTGCAAATTTCTCCACCAACTTCAATACATCCTCTATCTAGGTACTGTATATAAGCACCTCATTCAGATAATGTAATCACTTTTTCTCAACAAAACCTTTGGCACGGGTTCCTATAAACAGAAGTGTTGTGATTATTCACATAATTTTCGTTGCAACTTTGGACATAGTTGGCGTGATTACGGTTATATCTTTGCTTATATTTATAAATGAATTAATTAAAAAACAAACCTGACTGGTATGAATACCCGAATTAATGTTTTTACTATGGTGGCCAACCAGACCTCTTCTTATTCACCTCTGCTATCTGATGTTTGTCAATGGCCAGTGGAGGGGTCACTCTCAGTTCATTCTGTCTGTGATATGATCTGTTGTGAGATGGAGAGATATATGTGAACCAAAGGTGTGTCTCCAGGGTGTTCTGAGGCTGCTTTTCCAAATGACTCAGTATCAGCAGGAGAGAATTTAGACTTGCTTTTTTCAGCTCCTTTTACTAGGTCGGCTTCAACAGAGGATCCTCTTGATCAGCCACCTCCAGCCTCTTTTCTTCAGTTGATTACTCGGGTTTGTGAGGTTTTGGGGGTCTCTCCTGTTGCATTTGACTCTACTACTTCCTTGTTGGTGGAAAGGATGGCAAGTGACTACTTGGTTTTTTTCATTCTTCTGATATTGCTGTTCATGCTGGGAGATTTGCTGCTCAGTTACGTGATGAATAGCTATGCCTTGTCCCACACATTTATCTGAACAGCATGCTTTGGCTTTTCACCACCAGGAGGAGGTATATTTAGATTCTCAATGGATGGAACCTCTTTTGGATCTGTGGGGTTCTAGGTTGGAACTGTAATCACTTTGAACATATCACAGTTTTATCGGATTTGTCGTATCCTCACTACTGCCCTGAGGTATTTATCTTCAATCCACCTTTTGTTGGAAGCCTACCAATGCTCTCCTCAGCAATTTGAGTATGAGTTGGGGACTTTGCTGACATCTACTTCAGTCAAATTGTTTTCTTCAGTTCTTTCTCTGGTTTCTTGGCTGGTTTGTTGTTGGGATTTACTGGGTAGAGACACTTGTTAGAAAATGTTTGTTTACTGTCTTCTGCCCTCAGGGAGATAGAGGAAGCTTCTTTTGATTCAGCTTGTTTACATTCTTTTTTCATCATTAGCTTCTTGCCTTTCTAGTGCTAATTTAGGTGTGTCAACTTGTAGTGTTTCCCGACCTCCTCCTTCGGTTCTCGGGTCTGTTGGTTCCCATAATAGAGTTCATCCATATTCTCGAGGATCTTTGACTTGGACTGATCATTAACAATGGTGTCAGTGACTATCCCGTGGGCAGGGGAGCAGTGGAAGCATGATTACATCACTTTCTGAATATCTGGAGCTCTTTCACCAGGGATCTATGGGTACTTCATGTTCTGGATTCAGGGTTGGTCATTCAAAATGCATCACTTCCACCATTATCTGCTCAACCTATTGCCTTTTCACCTCCAACAGATCCACGACGAGTGGAGCTTCTTTCCCATGCCATAAGAGAATTGTTAATCAAAAAGGCAGTAGAGATGATTGATCCCATTCTTCCGGGATTTTATTCCCATTCATATGTTGTACCCAAGAAGACAGGAGATTGGCATCCAATCATTGATCTTTCTTGACTCAACCAATTTTTAGATCCTCATCGCTTTTCTATGGAATCTTTTCTCAACCTATGACGGCACTTTGTCCCAGGGCTCTGGATAACCAAGTTCGATGTTACCGACACTTATCTCCATATTCCCATAGCGGAATCTTCTCGGCGGTTTCTCATATTTCATAAGAAGTTCAGGACTCTACCTTTTGGTCTTGCATCAGCACCTTATGTCTTCTGCAGAGTTGTACAAGCTTTTTCTTGTCATCTGCATTCTTTGGGTCTGTGCACACATCATTATATGGATGACTGGCCCCTTCTGGCACCACCCCATCCATTAGCAGAATGATACTCTCAGATTCTCCTTTCAGAAGCCACAAAAGTGGGCTTTCTTATCAGACTGGAGAAATCTATTCTGTCACTGATGCAATATCTCGTCCATCTGGGTGTGTTTTTCAATACTCACTTAACTCTCTCAATACGGGCTCGGTCAATTTGACAGACTGTGTGATCTTTTTGTACTAGTTTAGAGTCTTTATAGATATAATACTTATAACTCTCAATATAATCTATGTCTTCACGAAATTTGGCAGTCTTTGAGTTAATATTACAAGTCTTTCACATACAAAAAAAATCATATTTTTTTGTGAAGTATTTTAAATAAAATAAATATTTATCTGTTAATATATTGAGTATTTGTTTTGAATAGTCTGTGTGCAAATTAATTTTCATTTTAATATTAAAAATACTTTTCCTCATCTCAAAAATCTCAAATTTCTTTTATGCAATCCCTGAAATCTCCTAAATGCATTTCAAACTTTTTTTTTTCAGTAAAACTTTATAGTTTACCTGTTATTTTCTACATGCCTTGTAGAATTAAAAACTTAAAACTTATATACGAAAAATATGGATTATTAGCTAAGATTTTATGCTATTCTAATTGGTATAACATAAATAAAGAGTGGTTTAATAAAATTTTGAATGTAAGACACTAAAATCTTGTGTCATATTCAGTAAAGGGTACCTTGGGCGATAGGGCTAAGTCAAGCTCAATCAACCCCTATCAGGTTACAAGCCATGGAAAGAGCCATCAGGTTTTTACTTCTGTCTCTTTCTCCTACTGTGCTGGTGGTTTTCTCTCTTTTGGGGATATGGTCATTCCTCGAACCTCTCATTCCTTTGGGATTAGCACATATGAGGTCTCTTCAGTGGTAACTGTGTAACTAATGGATCATGCATTCCAACCCTTTGGATTATCATTGTATCATTATTCACTAGCAACATCGTCGATTGTGAATGGTGGTTGGATTGGTACAACACCACTATTGGAGTACCCATTCCACCAACTCAAGCTGAGATCCATCTGTTCACAGATGCATCTCTTCAGGGATGAGAAGCTTATCTTCAAGGTCAGGAGTTCCAGGCTACTTAAACAGAAGACAAGTCTACCCTTCATATCAACATTTTCAAACTCCTTGCAGTACACTGGGTTATGGTTCAAGGCCTGTCTCTCTTGAGGGAAAAAGTTGTCATGATACATTTTGACAATTCCACAGTGGCTTCTCAGATTTCTCATCAAGGAGACACACATTCTTGAGACCTTTGTTTATGTACCTTGGATCTTCTCAACTGGGCTCATTCTTATCATATCAGTCTTTTAGCATTTCATGTTCCAGGAATGATGAATTTAATTGCAGAGCACTTGTCTCGACCCACCTGGATTCTTCTGATGGAATGGATTCTACATCACAAGGTTTTTCAGTGGATTTGCTCTCAGTTTGGGTCTCCAATGATTGATGCCTTTGCAACTCATTGGAATTCTCAACTGCAGTTCATGCTTGGAAGTTATGCGGTCCTTTGTCCAAGAGAGGGGTTTAACTTCTAAGGTTTCTCTGTATTTAACTTATCATCACTGGTGTATTAAAAGGAATTTAAACCCTCTTCATCCTGAAGTATTTACCATATCCCATTTTCTGACTTGGGTATTTGAGAGGAGTCTTGCTTCATCTACAGTAGCTTTGTATAAGACATCCTTATCCACTATATTTCAGTATTCTAAATATCGGAAGGTTTTTGAATCCTAAGTACTATAAAGTGTACTTAAATCTTTCCATATTTTTCCATATAGGTACCATGACCCCTTAATTCCAACCCCGAGTTGTGGAACCCCAGCTATCTGGTTGAAGCTGGCCTATACTGATGATTACTTATGTTCTATTCCACCTTTGATATAGGAACTGAGTTCCTGGTGAAGAGCATGTCTGTTCTGGATATAGTGCCATTTCCCCACTCTTGTACCATCTTTATATTGGTACACTTCTGTTCTATACAGATGCTTTCTATATGGTTCATGGCGGCACTGGCCCCTCCACCTTCTAGCTATAGTGTCAGTGGAGGTAAGTATGTTTTGGAAGTTAACATTTTCCTAAACTGAAAATGTATTTCCAATAATACTTACCTCCACTGACACTCTCCCACCCTACCTCCCCACTAAAAGCTGGTTTATGTCTCGAAAAAGTGATTGCATTATCTGAATGAGGTACTTATATACAGTACGTAGATAGAGGGCACATTGAAGTTGATGGAGAAATTTGTAAATTAAAATTTGCCAAGGGCGTTCGAGTGGGTATATGAAAACTGGAGCAAGCATTTTCAATGCTTAGATGGGCAAAGAGTGGAAACCCTGGAGATCAAGAAATAGCTATAGTGTCAGCTGAGGTAAGTTTTATTGGAAATACATTTTCAGTTTAGGAAAATGTTAACTTTCAAACCTGTAAGTGAAAGTGCTATTATCTGTTCTATAAGTTTCAGTGTCTTATTATCTCTTCAGTAAAGATTTGTTAGGAAATTAACTCTATTGAAAAAAGTATGTGGTAATATTCATGTAAAAGTTGAACAAAATCTGATGTGTTCACTTAGAATGTAAAAGTGTAATATATGCAGTGAGACAAGCTGGTTAAAGATGCATGTGGTTATAAAGTGGATATTATACAAGAAATGGTATGTAGTTTTAAACAACATTAGTTCTCAATATAAATTTACTTTTTTCAGGCAGAATAAAACTGCACACACACGTTTCTTTTGTATGTTGATATTGTGATGTAATGAAAAATGCTTTTTGATTGGTTTCAAATTTCACTGCATGTGTTATCAAAATATAAGTTTGTGATGATCAATCCCTTCTTAAAATTTCTGTCTTTTATAATTTTTAGATGTAAAAAAATGCTGATCTGACCAAGCTTAAAAAAGTACTGTCACAGTTAACATTAAATATTTCTATATGTGAGTCTTCATTGTGTAATACACATGGACACTAATCAAAAGACCTGCAAATGAAGGTCATTGTACTAAAGCTTATCTCTTAACTTACAAATTGGCAAATAAATTGCTTGAGTAAAACACTTTCACTTAGAAAGAAATTAAAACTTAATTCATATTCATATAAAATATGGAGTATTTACTGTGTAACTGATATATATATAGATTGAATAAATGTTAATTTAGAAGAACTTGCAATGAAAAATTGGGTAATCTTTCTCACATGTATTGAGTTGGCTTATATTGATTTTTATATGTTTAACTATGTTCTGTATACATAGCTCTAAGTCAAAATTTTGGTAAATTGTCTCATTTATATATATATATATATATATATATTTAAAGACTTCATCATTGATAAGTCTGCACAGCTGTGATGCTCAGCACAGTATCTTGAGTTTGACCTTAGGTACTAGTTCATGATTTCGTTCAGCCAGAGTTTATTTGGAGATTTTCAAAAGATATCTAGAAGAGATTCCATATACTTACCATGTTGAACAGAAAGTTTTCTTCAATATATTTTGTAATTTTAATAGAATAACTACTAAGTACTCTTACAATTTGACAGATATTATAAATAAAAAAGTAGATTATTTTTCACATAGACCTAATATATTTGTTTTGTACTTTAGTCGGGGTCATGTCATTGCCTTTGAACACAATGCTGAGAAGGCACCAAACCAGCAGCAACGTTTGCAGGTGTCTTATGAACATAAAGGAAATCAAATAACTTGTCTACAGTGGAATAGTGCATCTTCCCGACTTTTTAGTGGAGATGATCAGGGTCGAGTATCTGTGATGAATGTATCCACTTCTAAGGTTTGTCATTGTTTTTACTGTTAGTTGGATTTTAATTTTTTTTTGAAGACTTGAAAAAATATTAATTAAAAACAATATATTGATAGAGGCAAAAACAAGATTCTTTAATCTCAAAACATTGCTCAGGAGGTCAAACAAGGACTGAAGAAGAGACTTATAAAATGTTAAGTATGGCCAGTCCTAATGTACAGGGTGGAAACGTGGACCTATATGCTGAAATAAAACAATAGTTGGAAGCATTTAAAATCAAAGGAAGAAAAAAGAGTTTGTTCTCTCAGCACTATAGACTTTTCTAAAAATATATCAAATACACAAAATCCTCTATTTTTCATCAAAATAAAAAATCTTCATCTCAAGTATTTGGAAAATAGCTAAAACATCTGTAAGTTCATAATTTTACATTTATAGGAAATGCCTTCGTGTATAGGTATTTTTGAAGCTATTGGTTTATAGTATAATATTTTGTATTCTTTTGGAATATCATAAAACTTATTCCTCAGAATAAAATCTGTTACAAACATATAAAAGTATCTTGTTAACTTAGTCTTCTTCAGGCTTTAACCAAAACACATCTACTGGCAGTTTACCTCAAAAGCTACCACTTAAGTTTTTAGAAGTAAATATAGGTTAACTGATTAGTTTTAAAGCTGGTTTCCATCATTGGATGAGTACAGTTTCTGTAATACGTCTAACATTTTCTGGATGATACAAAAATTAAGGGGGTACACCATACATTGTTTTAAATAGGGTAGATGGATATGTATGTTTAAGAATTTACTGCATTTGAAGAACATTACAAGTGCAGTATACTTTCAATCCTATATAGGCTCATTTACAGCACTGACATAAAAGATAGATACTTGAGTGTTGTGGTGCCAGAGAAACTGTTCAAATGAACTGAACATAAATCTGAACAACACTTTTGGAAAAGTCTGCTACAAAAAAGCTGTTTCAGTTTTCTTTTGAACTGAAAGCTATGAATCTCAATAGATGGCAAAGTAGGATACACAGGTAGCTTAAGTACATCAAACTGTAACACTGAAGGGATGTAAAGTCTGTCCAAATAGTTCTTGATAATGTTGTTGATAAGTGAAATTGAAAGCTGTTTCTTGTAGAACATGTGTTAAGTTCTCTTTGAATTCTGTGGAAGTCACTGACCAAGCAAAAATATGATCTAATAAGATAGATTTTATTTGTAAACACTTATTATAAAGTAACAATACAAGACCAGTAATTTAATGCTAGATGAGTGATGTACACATATCTCAAAAAAAGTTTAAAACAAATTCCTACAAAAGTATTTAAAAATTAATTATTCAGGCTTGTAGTGGGCATAGTGATCTAAGAATTTTTATGTACTGGAAACAATGATTATAACTTTTTTAAAGACTTAGGCACTGAACTGTGTACAGTGTGTAGAGTCACTAAATCAAGACTTCGAGTGAAACCTTTAAAACCTTCATTTTCGTTTTCATCCTTTATTTTTACCCTGGTCCAGAGTGCTAACTGAAATAAAATTTGAGAATAACAAGATATAAAACTGTAATGAGCCTCAAATTTTGATACTAAGGCTTTAATTTAGAACTAGCAATAAATTTTGACCTTAAAATTTAATATCAAAATAGAAAGACAATGAATAAAATTATGGTACATATCAACATAATGAATATTTTATCATATTGCATGACATTTTAGATAAAACTAGTTTTTGTAGGTTTAAATTACTTCAGTGGAAAGATTTTAAAGAAAGCTGCCTAAAGATTAAGAAAAACAGTAACTTTTAAACATTTGTAAAATTTTGATAGGCCAAGAACCTGTTTCAGATCTCTTCCTCCATCTTGTTGCGCCTGGAAACTCGCATTGTCCAACTTGACATGGCACAGGAACATCTGTTAGTTTCAGATTTTACTCGTTGTTATGTTTGTCATACAATCAGGTAAGCATTTTTTTTAGGTTTTGGTCTGTAAAGACTTACATTAGTTGTATCATTTATTTCACAAGTGTTAGGTAGTACTTGAAGCATTGTAATTATACATATAATTTAAGGACAACAAGGGTCCTGTAGAGACTTGAATGTTTATCCCTGATGAAGTTGTAATGGGGAAGATTTGGCACAAATAACATTATTTTCATTTGTTTGGAGTAAAAAGCTAGTTTTTTATTTTTGCTTACAATAATATTGGTTTAAAATTTAATTTTGTGGGCTTTTAAATGATGTATTTAAAATAAATTTTTTAAAGGTTAAAAGCAATTAATATGGCTTCTTTCATTCCTCCTAATGCCATTGTGCAATTTTGGATGAGTAACAAAAATTTGTAATGTACTTGAATAAAGACCAAAATTAAATTGTTAATTTTTAACAGGGAACAGTATTCGCAGATTGGAAAGAAACTCCGAGAAGGGGAGTATGGAGCTTGCTTTTACCCCAACACAAAGCCACAGGACCCACCCACAATATTTGCAGCACGACCTGGTTCTAGACTCTGGGAGGTAAAATCTGATTTGTATTATGCATATAATTAAATTTGAATGGGTAAAATGTTATGTAAGTCTGGCTTGGACAACTAAAACTGTCTGTCATTTGTATGTAAGGTGCCTAGAGAAATTTTAGACATTAATCACTAGACTTGATGAAGAAAACACAATTTTCTGTTGCCAACTACCTAACCCTCTTGTTAACAACAATTCATTTTGCGCATTTTAACAAACTTCAAGCTTTTGGTGTAAAATAAAGATGACATTTGGAATTGCTTGCACATTATTTCTATACTACCACAGATGGATAAAGATTATTAAATAATTATACAACATGATTTTATGTTTGTCAAGCTTTACTACTTTCTTGAATAAAAGTTATCTCAAGCATCATAACTCCACATTTTGAAATGGTATGACAGTATGGTGTATTGTGAATAAACAGTAAAAATTGTGGAAAATTTCTCCAAACTTGTGTTTTTTTATCACAATGCTAATTTAAAAGGTGTAAAAAAAACGTATTACGATTTAATTATTTTGTGTTAAGAAAAGGTAAATTGTATAAAAAATTACTGCTACACATTACTACTGTTGGTTTTTATGCAAAATGTTTTTAAGCTAAAAACTCAACTCTTGCTAGAGAAAGTTTACCACTTGTGATTTTGTTGAGACCAGTATTTGTGTTCATGACTTTCAGCAAACCCATGTGCAGCTTGTATGCATGAGAGAGATTGAATGCAAAGCTTTCTTCATTAAAACTTCAGGGATTATTGATCAAGGATTTTAGTTTTCTGTAAATAATTAATTGGTATACTTTGCACCTTGAAATTATTGATTGGTATACCTTGCACCTTGAAATTATTGATTGGTATACCTTGCACCTTGAAATTATTGATTGGTATACCTTGCACCTTGAAATTATTGTTATTTAAGCAAAAACAGGTGATTCTTAAAATTATCATCATGAACTTTTTCTGGAGTATCAAACTACTCTGATACATGTACCTTGATTGAAATGATGTATGAGGTTATGCAGTTTAATTTGTTTTCTATGTATAAAGCAAAATAATATTACAATACCTGCATTATACTTATACCACCTATCACAAGATCATCCCACTTATTCTACTGATTTAGAAACAATTGTTAGATATGAAATTATTTTTGCCAAATTTTTGATGGGGCTGGTATGAAGACAAAAAATTGTAACATTAATCTTTAGAAGTACCAATTGTGTTTTGTGTAACACTATATTTGTTACATGAAATTTGTTCTTCCAGTCACTGTTGTTTATATCTACATTCACATTCTTTAACTCAGGCTATATTATGATGGAACTTAATCTCATTCACAACACTCAGGGTAATTGTAAAGACCTAAATTATATTCTGCAATCAATTATTATTTAGATTTACCTCTAGGGAACTGCCTGATAACCTATAAACCTTTCTTACAAACACAAGCATAATAAGTTAATCAACCTTCTCTTTTAGCAGATGCTAACCAAGATGACTGTTTTAGTAACACTAAAGATCATGTAACCTGATTATTCTTTGCCATCCTAAAGAGGTTGGTGACTTCAGTACAATTATTTACTATTGTCAGTTCATCCCATTATTTGTATTACATCAATATATGTTACTGTGATAATGCTTTAGTTAAGAAGGGATAAAGTTTGCTATTATTATTCTATAAGTTTGTTTCTGTCAGAACATTTCAATTTTTTTTTCATGGGAAGATATCATAATTATAAATAATATTTTAGTCTTCCTTTATGTGCATATTTCTAGAAATGTGTTGAAGTGTTAAGCTTAATCTTGAGCTTGTTCCTGGTTGTTATACTACTCATTCTACTAAATAACAAAGTCCAAGCTCATCTGGTCTTGGTATGGCCTTGTGGTTATACTGGTCTGTAATTCCAAGGGCCTTTGGTTCATGACTCATGGAAAACTGTGATCTGCATTTTGTGGCTGTGGGGTGCATTATAAGAGTGAATGTACAATCTCACACTATTTGATTATATTAACTCAAGAATTGGCAGTGGGTCTTGTTGACTTGCTGTCTTCCCTCTAATCTGTCAGTTTAAAATTAGGAATGGCTAGTATAGATAGCCTGAATATAGGTTTGCAAGGATATCTGAAACAACTTATTGTAAAGTTAATATTGAAAATTCGAATTTTATTGACTATTTCGCTGGTTATAAAGGCCAGAGTAGACTATATTCTAAGATGCAATTTAGTAAAAGCTTGAATTATCCTGTAATTTTACCTATCACTTTTCTGAATATGTAGATTTCTTTTAAAATCATAAATAGCTTGTAACTTCAATATAACAGAATAATTAATTTTTATATTCAGGTGGATATCAAAGGACAAGTACAAAATACTCACCAGTTTAAACAGGCTTTGACTATGTTGCCTACATCCTTGGTAACTTTTAGGTATGTTTCTTACTTTTCTTTACAACCATTTTTTATCTGATTATTTATGAATATTGATTACCTTGGCCTAGCATGACCTGGTGGTTAGGGCACTTGACTCATAATTTGCAGGTTGCATATTTGAATCTCTATCACCAAACATGCTCACCCTTTCGGCTGTGGGGGTCTTATAATGATACAGTCAATATCACTATTTGTTGGTAAAAGAGTAGCCCAAGAATTAATAGTGGTTAGTATTGACTAGCTGCCTTCCCTCTAGTCTATCACTGCTAAATTAGGTACGACTAGTTCAGATAACTCTCAAGTAGCTTTACATGAAATTCAAAACAAACCAAACCAATTGATTAGCTTGTTTTAAAATAGTAGAAAATTCTTTATAATTTTATCCTTTGGCTTGAAGTTAGTTTGGTGGGTTGTCATTCCAAAGCTTCAGAAAACATTCTTATGGGAGAATTATTGTAATAAAACTTTGGTAACATACCTTGTAATTTCTACCTTTAGTGTTTACAACTAATGTTATTTATTAATGTACTCATCATTCAATGTATTCTACCCCTTAGCATGAATTCTAAGCTATGATTGCCCAAGAGCACATTTTTCAATATTGTCTTGAAAGCTAGACAACAAATTCCATCAATGTTGCCTAGTTATCAAGGCCATGTGACTTCAGAAGATGGAAGACGTTTGAAACATCATCCTCTATATTTCTGTTTTTTACAACAGCAGTTGCTGACCATTTCAGTATACTTATCATGAATACTCTGCCTAGGATTAATAAAAATGTATATGTAATTTTTTTTTACTTTAGAAAATGGATTTACCATAGTACCAGGTGATTTCAGAGTAACAGGATGGGAAAAAAATTATAATCCTTTGCTGCTGTAGTTCTTTTAATCTTTTAGAAATTGAGTGGTGAGAAATTTGTAAATGTTTAACCTTGCAAGAAAATAAACTGTTATTTTTACTTTACTCCATTTATTATGATTACAAAAAAATTCTAGAAGTCTAAAGTGCTTGTTGTGAAACAGTTAAAAATTTAGTAAATTTTGCCATAGAATATGAATGCTAAAAGGTTAAATTATTTATGTTAAACTTCACTTATGCAAATGTAATATACTATTTGTTTGAATTTGGTCTTTTGTTTTCCTTGTTGCTCTTATGTTACCAGCATTTTAAAAGTAACAAAAAATAGTTGTACAGTTTTAAAAAATGCAAAAATAAGCAAAGTCACACATTTAAAGAACGTTTGAATTTGATTAAGATTTTTCCCAAATTTAAGATGGTTTATATTTTATACTATCCAAATTTTTATTTTTTTATCACACCTTTATCAAGGATAGTAATGTTAACACGTTAGATATTTTATTTTTCAGGAAAGAGTATGTTCCACCAAGTCCTGATATGCACTGCAGGCCACAGTCTGTAGCCTTTGTTAAGCTACACACCATATGGACTGAGTAAGTCCTTATAACCTTTTTCCTGGCATTTAATAATAAATTGATTTAATTGGAGGTTTAAAATTACTATTTAAAATGCAAAAGAATGATAAATGTTTAACAACTTGTAAGATTTTTTGTGTTATAATTTAAACTGTCTTTCGTAAGAAGCTTACTTAAAAATGAAGTGAAGGATTGCCATTTTAACTCTGAAATTTAAAGTTGCCAAGGGCACAGCATAATAGTTTTTTTTATAGTTTCATTTAATGTTAGTTTGCATTTTAGTTAGCTACTTTCTTAAAAATCTTTCAGCTTAAGTTTTAAATTTAGCACTAGTGTTGTATTTAAGAGAAAGGTCTCTAAACATTGTTAGGCTAACTCATTATGTCTTTTGAACACTAATGATGGGATGAAAGTACTTATTTCAAGGGATTTTAATAAATTTTAACTTGCCAGATTTTGTCATTTATAAATGCATTTCTTAAATTTTTCATTTTGTATATATATTTTTGTTTTGGGTGCTGTATATGTGTTAAGCTATGAAAACAGGAAAGTAGCTTGAATCAGAAATTTCATTTCAAAGTATATTGGGTTTAAATGGAAATAACACTAGTGTTTTCAGTATTTAGTTAAAACTGAAACCATGTTGAATTTAAGTTTGTGACTTTGCAAACTGGACAGATGCTTTAACCATGTAAGCCATTGAATCATTGAGTACCATCTCAGTTCTTTTATTTTATTGATTTCTAAAAAATGTGTGAATGAACTCATAATTGAAGGCCATTTATAGGCAGCAACTGTTGATGATTTTGAAGAGTGCATTGTTTTTCAGTATTTTATCCCATCAACTCTTGACTTTAATAGGTTAAACCTAAATGACTGAAGGTACTTTACTGATAAGTGATGCAGTATTTGTTGTTTAGGCTTTAAAGATGTTTTAAAATAGACAGGTCTGGTCTTTAAGTAAGATTGTTACCTTTTGTTTATAATTATTATTGTTAAGTTTTATTTCAGTGGTTTCTAGAAGTCTTGTAGAACTTATGAAGGAAAAATTCAAATCACATCACCATTATTTTTCACTATACAGAAATAGGTGAAAAAATATGCAGGATGTTGTAGAATAAATTTTTTCGACAATCTTAACTTGTGTTTATGCACTTTTTTTATGTGGAAGAAACTGTTAAATGCAAAAATAAAGGTAGAATTTGACAAATTGCAGAGATGGTTTACCTCTTCTCTTTACATGGAGTGATCGTGGAGTATACATAATTGATCCAAGATTGGCTGAAGTTATTCTCTGGAACAATGAAATTACAGGTATTTAAACATATTTAAAGTTCTGTTAGTGTTTAGTAGATAGCTTATGTCTTACCTTTAATTTAATAATTATTTGTAACCAGTAATAAAGTGCAAAAAATATGTCAAAATTTATCAGTTTGAAACTGTGTTTTAGTTCTTGTTGTACTTAGTAATTATCATCACTTATTTTATTTAATTAAAATGCAAAATGCAACTAAAAACTGTTAGTATTTGTATGTCAAAACAACATCAGAATTTTGCATTTAGTATTTCTTCACCTTATGCTCAATAGCTCATTAGACTGACTGTTAAAAATACAGCATGTTACCTTTAAAATTTAATGAGTTATTTATCAACCTATCCAAACACATTTAACACACACACACACACACACACACACACACAAATGCACACATTTGAAACATGAATAAGTCATTTGGTATCAAAGCTTATTTATCAAATGAAATAAAATGTCATCTGCAGTGATGTATAATTTCTCATTTTCTTGGAAACAAAATGTTTGTGTGAAAGACATTAATTAACTTGAATCTGCTTCAGATTTAGTTGAACTGTACATTTTTCCCAGTTAAATGTTATATGTAACTCAAATATATTAATCTGATTCTATACATATATATGATAAAAGTATTATGAATTGAAAAATAAAACATTCCACCTACCTGTCATTATAATGCATTTTTCCCTAAAAAAAGATTAGTGACTTGTTACTTACATAATTTATAGGTATTCTAAACAATACTTAAAACAAAGTTACTCAAAATGGCATACTGGTAAAACCAATACAGCTTTTCAACAATTTACTGTTATGTATGTATTTTTCTATTCATTTTTAATAATTTAATTTTAAGTTGGCAAAGTGAATTCCAATTTGGTATTTTGTTGTTAGTTACTGAAACAATTTTATTCAATTTAATCTTAACTTTAATGTAAAAAATAACAGTATGTACAAATATATGGTACTTTGTGTTTTCTTGTTTGGTTTCAGGTTGTTATTTTGTCTGAGATTACATCACAATAAGACTGATAATAAGTTTGACCAACTCTCTTGTATTGGCCCTTTTTGAGTTTCTAGTATATAATAGCATCTTGGCTACACACCCTGTTGTAAACTCAGTTGAACTGATGAGTTCTGGTAATGAGTAAAAATCCTTGTTATCAGCAGTTTGAAACTTGCAAGAAGTGGAAATTCAAATGCTAGAAATGTTGTTATATTTATACTGGAAACCTGTATAGGGCCAGGAAAGAGAGAGTTGATAAAAATTATTGTATTATTATGATGTAATATTACAGATCTATAAATGTTCTTTTGTATCACTGAAATAAGATAAAGTTCACAAAATGAACAGTTTATTTTTGAAAACAGTGATAATGCAGATTAAATATCATTAAGTTATATTAGTTAGAATTTAAGGTTTTAAGGAAAATTAACTTGTTGGAATATTGAAATTAACTTTAAAATGAGCTTAAGATCCACAAAGTATATATGCTACTTGTGTGAACACACACAAACCTCAACTATATAGGCACAAATGTGTAAAAAATGACATAATTAAAGTAATGCACATACAAAATATAAATGTTATGAAGTAAGAGGAAAATCACTTGTGTACAAATAAATTCCTGTACAAAAACATACAGTAGAAAGCATCTTATTAACTAATATGTTTTCAGTTTTTCTGTTAGTATTGGTTAGATTTTTATTGGAGTTTACTTGATAATGTAATGTGCTATACACTTACACTGAACAATTATATTATTATTTTAAATATAAGATTTAGAGTTATTTTTAAATACACAGAGGTGCTGTTTCATTTAATCTGGTTTAAAAAAGTGATTAAGTTAGCATAATAACTATTTGTGAACAGAAGTATTTTTCATTGAATTACAAAAAGTGCTACTCAAAATTATGACAAATCGTTCTTTTGGATATATTGTCAAATTTCTGAATCCAGGATCTAGTCTTTTAAATCACAGCTTTATTTGTGCAGTTAAAATGAATCACTGTAGTGTTTCTATCTTAAGAATAAAAAAAAAATATGATTTAGAAAAAAAAAAATTATGTACTAGTGAGGAACATTCCAAATGAACTTTGTCAGTTTTTGTTTTAAACAATATGGCTCATTGTTTGACATTTATCCCTTCTAAGATTGTTTTAATTTTTTTCAGGGATCAAAGATACTTACTGTCACAAAAACGATATTTATGTCTACTTTATTGATGGGAGTTTAGCCAGATATTCTTTGCTAAAGATTGAGAAAGTTTTTACTCAGTTGTATGAAAAAGAACTTAACATTCAGTTTGCCCAGCTGTTGCTGAATTCTTACCAATACTGCTCCATTATAAATCTTTGTCTTCATGTCCCTGTTTCCATGGTTACAAGTGTGATGAAGAAGCTTGGAGATTCTGGAAGAAGCAATCTAGTGAGTGGATTATCAGTTGTAGCTGGCCAGATGGAAGAAGTTCAGATGGAAAAAAAAAAGGATGCTGTAGAGTTTCCCACAGAATCAGCAGAGGCACAGCGTTTAAAATCTGGTATTTATATGGTTAGACCTCCTCCAAAAAGAGAACACTTAGCTTCAGCTATTCCTACTAGGTGTCATTCTTCTTCTCCTGTACACCATCCACATGGACGATCTCCAAATCTCCACTTCTCTGCTGTGTCTCGCTCTACTAACAATACGCCAATGAGAGTGCATGATTCTAATATATCAGGGAAGAAAAAATCTATGACAGGTGATTTTGTCAGAGGTAGTCCAGTTACTATATCTAACTCTAAACACTTTGAAACTATAGAAACTGCTAGTAAGATACCTAGACAAATTGTGAACTACCGTCCTTCACCTTCTAACTCAAGTATCACTTCAAATGAAACAATGGATGATAGCATTGCTATTAAGTTTGAGAATGAAGACATCCCAAATAAAAAGATTGATGTTAAGCACCTTGACCCTATAAAAGCCAAAGAATCTATATCAATAGAAAGGTATCAAGAAAATGGAGAAATTTCAAGGAATTCATCATCTTCAAACATACTCAGTTTTCTGGTGAAAGATAAACTTTCTGTTGTTGATACAAAAGCCAATAAAGTGTGTGCAGCACATATTGATCATGTGGGTGATACTTTCATTATCTCAAAAGATGAAAATTTAAAACAAAAGTCAAGTAGTGAAAGTAATGACTTGAAATCTCCATATGAAAGCTTACAACCTCAGAAACAAGAGAGTGTGCCAGATATAATAACCAGGTTTGAGGTTCAGTCAGAAAATTCAACATCATTGGGCAATAATGTTCTTTGTTTAGTAAATGGGGACACCTTGTCTGATAAATTAAACACATCCACCACAGAACAGCATTTTCAATCAAATGCTAGTGATAAATTATCTGAGGTCCATCTTGAAAGGGAACATGATAGTAAAAAAATCTGTGTAGTAGGTGAAGAGTCTTCTTCACATATTGTAAAGAATATAGACAAGGAAAATGTTTTAAGTCCTGAGCTTCGGAAAGATGAGAAATTACAATTCTCAGACTTAAGTAATATCAATCGGATTAGCCTTGGTTCAGATTCATTTAAACATAATTTTGAGAAGGGTATTTTTATGGATTCTGTGAGTGCTGATTTAAATGGAAACATAACACTAAATATTTCTGAACCATCTGTGAAAGAATCCCTTGACCAGAGTGAAAACTCTCAGTTAAAAGAAAGGGAAGTCTGTGTTTTGAGAGATAAACTCAGCTCAGATGCCAGTCTCTCCATTGCAAGTAAGAGTGATTACCAGCACTTGTTATATGATACACAGCCCTTGTACAACTGTAATGAAATCAAGAAATTTAGTTGTTTATACTCTAAGCACATAAATGAACATAAACTTGAAAATTTGGTTGAAACAATTCCACAATCTACAATTTTTCCAACAAGTGATCTTGAAGATCATGGTGATGTACATTTACTTCAGACAGTCCATACGTTTGAAGGTGATAAATCTTTATGCAGCAGCAGTGATTTCACAGAAAATGGTTCAGATTCAATTGAATCAACAATATCAGATGAGGTGAAAAAACTGTGTGAACAACCAAAAACAACTATCGCTATTTCTCCAGACTTGGATGGTAGTTATAGTTCCCTCTATGATACATACAATGAGATTATAGATTTTGAAAAACCTTATCGATATCTTAACATGGCAATGTATGGTGGGGGAATGATACTTCCTCCAGGTCTTGACCTGTCCATTATTTCAGGATCAGATGTTGTTGACACTGGAGTTTTGGAATTAACAAAGCTAAAAGACAGGTAAGATTGAAATATAAAATAATTAAAGATGATAGTTTATTTTAGTACCTTCCAGTCTCTGTTCAAGCAAGGATAAGTTTAACCCAAGTTTTGGAGTGATATTTTGATTAGAAATAAGAATAGAAATAAATATGTGAAAGCTAATTATTTAAATTACAATTTTAATAATACTTTCTTCTGTATAAGCTGAAATGGGGTTTTCTTTATTAATTTTTCAGCTTTTCTACAAGGAAAAATGAAAACTTATCCATTAAATTTATTAGGAATTTTTAATATTTTTGGACATTCCTTATAAAATTGGCAAGAATTGTATAGTGCCAGATTTTATTCTTATTGAAAATTTTTTTTCATTTTACCATTGCATTATACATTGTAAAGACTAAAGGTCAGTGTTATATTATTGGATACAATAACATGAGTGCATGTGAGCCGTGT